CTTTAGCACTGATCACTGTATTGGTGTCACTGGGGATGTCAGTGACACCAAGTCAGTTCCCCCCCAGTGTGTGTCACAATACCCGCCGCAGTTCTGATATAAGTCTCTGATCGCCACCATTACTAGTAAAAATTAAAAAAAAAAATTCCAGTATCTATACTGCCATTTGTAAATGCTATAACTTTCACGTAAACCAATTAATTTACACGTATTGGGATTTTTTTTTTTTTTTTACCAAAGACATGTAGCAGAATACATTTTGGCATAAATTTATGTCTAAATTTTTTAAAAAATTTTACTGGACATGTTTAATAGCAAAAAGTAAAAAATATTGCTTTTTTTCTCAAAATTGTTGCTTTTTTTTTTTTTTTTTTTTTTTATAGCATAAAAAAAATGCACAGGTGATCAAATACCACCAAAAGAAAGCTCAATTCGTGGGGAAAAAAGGACGTAAATTTCATTTGGGTGTAGCGTTACATGACCGCGCAATTGTCAAAGTAACGCAGCACCGTAACTCAATAAAAGGCCTGCTCAGGAAGGGGGGTAAATCCTCAGGAGGGCAAGTGGTTAATAGGCTTGCAAGGTTCTCACAGTTCCAGACTACTTGCCAACAAAAACAGAAGGGAAGGATTCATAGCATGGCTCTGCCTAACATTTTTGCCATGTGTCATCATCAGAGGCAGCATGAGTATATTTACCTGCCCAGACTTTTTATACCATGCAACTGCTACACACATTTTTTTTTTTTTTTTTTTGGGTCTAATCTTAAATTGACAGCACCATCTTAAAGGGGCACTAAAATTTCTTATGGTTTTTTTTTTTTTTCACATTGTATTATACATATCTGTGTACAGATATTAAAGTATAGAATTTATTATGAAATATTACTATTGCACATATTGCATCTTTTTTATATTGTATTTTAACTTTTTCTTTTTAGATACTTTTAACACTTGAGAATTTGAGTGCGGTCATACACGTTTTGTTTCTGTGCACACTCCACAGTGACTGCAGCTGTATTATTATATCTTTGGCGCAGAGCTTTCCACATTTATATTGTCAAATGTACATATAAAACAACGGTGTGCATAAATTACACAGTCATTATAAATCATGTGCAGAAAAAAGTATAAAATGTGAAAATAATCCTTACAACCTAATTGGATGATAATGGATTGTTTTTGCGTTTTTTTTTTTTTTTTTTTTGTTTTTTTTTTTTCTGCACGTGATTTTTGATGATTGTGTAAGTTACGAGTTGTGCTGTTTATATGCACATTTGAGTCTACATTTGCTCATTTATGTTAAGGAGCGCCTCACTGTTGGTAGGTCTACATTTATAAATATTTTCGATTTAAAGTGTTTGTTACCCCATAATTTGATATTCCTTATGTGTCTGTAGTACCATGTACCTGTGTTAAAAAGTATCCTGTTCTCTTCGTATTTCTTCCTTTGTATTAAATATTTGTATTAAATACCTGGTGATTCTGTCAGTCTCCCTGCTTTCCTACTTCAAACTGACCTTGTTAGGCATTGAAGCACATCCTCCTAGAGTAATCAATTTTGTGGTTGTACTGGGCGTATAGTCTGCTTTTCCTCCAATGGCCATTATTTCCGAGTATTGACAACGCGCAAGCCAGTCTTCCTCAGTCGCCTGTGCCTTGTTGAAACATAATCTTCACTGTGTTCCCCTCTCAAGACCTGAGTGCTGTTCTCTTTTGGATTGTTTTATGTACTACAGACTTTGCTGCGCACCCAGGCCCTTTTATTTATTTTTTAATGTTTATTATATGTGCAGTGGCAACCATTGTAATGACGTAAGTGTGTTTGTGTGTAGTTAGGTCCATATATATTTGGTCTGGCTTTTTAGATGTTTTTTTGGCACAATGTAATCTGGCTTCTCTATTCTTCAGGCTTATGAATGGTTTGCACCTTGTGGTGAACCCTCTGTATTTGCTCTCGTGAAGTCTTCTCTTGATTGAAAACTTTGACAATATTACGCCCACCTCCTGGAGAGTGTCCTTCACTTGTTTGGGTTTTTCTTTACCATAGAGAGTATCCTGCGATCATCCACCACTGTTGTCTTCCATGGACGTCCATGCCTTTTTTATGTTGCTGAGTTCCCCAGTGGGTTCTTTGCTCAGAATGTACCAACCTTTTGGATTTGGCCACTCCTAATGTTGCTGCTATCTCTCTGAAGGATTTGTTTAGTTTTTGAAGCCTTACGATGGCCTTTTTCACTTGCATGGACAGCTCCTTTGAACGCATGATGTAGTTTTACAGCAATAGATTCCAAATGCAAATACCACACTTGGAATCAACTACAGACCTTTTTACCTGCTTAATTGATGAAGAAATAATGGATGTACATACCCTCAAATTAAACCTGGGAGTGTACACTTTCAGCCCATATCCATTATATAACTAATAGCTTGAAAATGTTTATTTTGGTTAATACCTGAAAAAAACTAAAATTGTGCCTGTGTCCAAATATATATGGACCTAACTGTGTGTGCACACACACACACACACACACACACACACACACACACACACACACACAGTGAAGGGAATAAGTTTTTGATCCCCTGCTGATTTTGAATGTTTTCCCACTCACAAGGAAATTATCAGTCTAAAAATCGAATGGTAGGTGTATTGTAACACTGAGAGACAGAATAGCAACAACAAATTCAAAAGAAATGCGTGTCTAACAAATGATGCACTGATTTGCATGTTCATGAGGGAAATAAGTATTTGATCCCCTATCATTCAGCAGGTTTCTTGCTACCAGGTGTCTTTCATGCACGTAACAAGCTGGGATTAGAAGCAGTCTCTTAAAGGAAGTGCCGTTAGTCTCATTTTCTTACCTGTATAAAAGACACCTGTCCACAGGCGCAATCAAACAATCAGATTCCAAACTCTCCACCATGGCAAAGACCAAAGAGCTGTCCAAGGATGTCAGGGACAAGATTGTAGACCTACACAAGGCTGGACTGGGCTACCAAACTATCGCCAAGCAGCTTGGTGAGAATCATTTGCAAATGGAAGAAACACAAAACAACTGTCAGTCTCCCTAGGTCTGGTGCACCATGCAAGATCTCACCCCGTGGAGTGTCAACGATCATGAGAACATTGAGGAGTCATCCCAGAACTACACGTGAGGATATTGTCAATGATCTCCAGGCAGCTGGGACCACAGTCACCAAGAAAACAATTGATAACACACTACGCCGACAAAGGATCAAAATTCTGCAGTGCCCACAAGGTCCCTCTGCTCAAGAAAGCACGTGTCCATGCCCGTCTGAAGTTTGCCATGAAACATTTGAATGATGCAGAGGAGGACTGGTTGAAAGTGTTGTGGTCAGATGAGACCTAAATCGAGCTCTTTGGCATCAACTCAACTCGCCGTGTTTGGAGGAGGAGGAATTCTGCCTATGACCCCAAGAACACCATCCCAACTGTCAAACGTGGTGGTGGAAACATTCTGCCTTGGGGGTGTTTTTCTGCTAAGGGGACAGGAAAACTGCACCGCATCAAAGGGATGATGGACGGGGCAATGTACCGTTAAATCTTGGGTGAGAACCTTCTTCCCTCTGCCTGGGCATTGAAAATGGGTCATGGATGGGTGTTCCAGCATGACAATGACTCAAAACACACGGCCAAGGCAACAAAGGAGTGGCTCAAGAAGAAGCACATTAAGGTCCTGGAGTGGCCTAGCCAGTCTCCAGACCTTAATCCGATTGAAAATCTGTGGAGGGAGCTGAAAGCTCGAGTTGCCAAATGTCAGCCATCAAACCTTAATGACTTGGAGAGGATCTGCCAAGAGGAGTGGGCCATAATCCCTCCTGAGATGTGTGCAAACCTGGTGGCCAACTACTGGAAACGTCTGACCTCTGTGATTGCCAACAAGTGATTTGCCACCAAGTACGAAGAAGTAATGTTTATGAAGGGGATCAAATACCTACAGTATTTTCCTCATGAACATGCAAATCAGTGCATCATTTGTTAGACATGCATTTCTTTTGAATTTGTTGTTGCTATTCTGTCTGTGTTACAATACACCTACCATTCCATCTGTAGACTGATCATTTCTTTGTGAGTGGGCAAACATTCAAAATCAGCAGGGGATCAAATGCTTATTCCCTTCACTGTGTGTGTGTATGTATATGTGTGTGTATGTGTGTATGTATGTATGTGTATATATATATGTGTGTGTGTGTGTGTGTGTGTGTGTGTATGTATATATGTATGTGTGTATGTATATATGTATGTGTGTATGTATGTATGTATATATATATATATATATGTATGTATATATATATATATATATATATATATATATATATATATATATATAAAATTTTATACACCCGTTTTGCCTTGCACTTTCCTGTAGAGGCCAATCCACTTCTCACCTTCGATTCATATCTTGTACCTATTTGGGGAGTAAAGGTTTGCAGCTGTAAGCTTCCAAAAAATATTTTGAGAAATGTAACATATACTGATATTTGTGGAGTCTTTATTGAGAGCATTCACTCTTCCTGGTGAAATGCTAATCTTTTCAGCTGATAGCGTCTCTTTGCATTACTATGGGGAATCCACTAGAGGCAGTGTTTCAGCATTTCTGTATAGCACAGCCTTGTGTGGGCTCTGCATTGGAGAAGGCACTCAAGCAGGTGACAAATGTGGCCTGTCTTGGCCATATTAGGGTTTAGAGGGAATTTTCTCCCCTTCCTGGGCAGGTGTGAAGGCCTAATGTGGGATCTGACCCTACCCCACTTTACCCAAAGTGAAATTTTTTTTTAAAAGAGGTACTCTTTAAGACCATCATACCACAAAGAATTGATATCTGCAGTTGGAAATGTGTAAACTATATTTTCTGTTTTGTGATTATCCATACATGCTTAGTAATTGTGTTAGGTTAAAAAAAGCATTAAAAACTATGTGGTAATTTTTTTAAATTTTTTTTTTCCTTTATGCAGAAACCTGCTAATATTTTAGTCATGGGTGAAGGTCCAGAGCGAGGACGAGTAAAAATAGGTTTGTACAGATATTATTGCTTTTAAAATCATTCCATTTGGCAGTACCCCTCTATGTATGAGGAGACATTCTCGCATAAGTTTTTGTGCCATCTCACTCCACCCAGAGTGGTTCAGTCCTATTTAAGTGATTTATTTAAAGTATAATTAAACCAATGACAAAAGGTTAATATATTGCAGCTTACATTCATTTTAGATGTATTTTTGTTTCACAAGCTGTGAACAATTTCAGCAAGTACAGAAAATGCATGTTGATCTTTCCAGAATGCCCTGTGAGCTAAACTGGAAGAAAACCGTGTTATATTTCTTATGTAAACCATAAGAGGCTAACCCTTTTACAGCTGGACAGCTCTACCCCTCCTTGTGTAAAAAAAAAAAAAAAACCCCAGACAAGATTGAAGTCTAGCCTGGGTGGCATCCATGGCACTCGCCATAGAGTGTAGGAGTAAGCATTGCCACACAGGGATAGAAGGTGTGGTGTTCACAGCTTTACCAAGTATAAATAAATAAAATTAATAAAGGAAAACTAATGTGATCCCTTTTATTTAAGTACTAAGAGTATAAATAAAAATAATAAATACCCAGAAAGTGAAGTGACGGCTAACTCCACCCTTCCTCTCATTTCCCATACAATAGCAGAGTACATAGCAGATATTGTGGCTCTTGGCTGCCCTATAGGAGCCAGAGTCATAGGTGTCAACCCAGGCATGTGCAGGTGAAAGGGTTTGGTATTACAATATTGACAATTGGCACTTTGATCTTCAAGCATGTACAAAGGAAGTGTGTAGCAGAGTAATCTCCCAACACTTCCCTTTAAAAGACAGAAGAATGGGTTGGCACTAACCCCTGGCTTTGACACTCACCTAAGCTACAATGACATGCACTTTTCTATTAAGTAACACCACACATCCATACATTTTTGCATTAGCGGATATTGCAGTTAGATGCATGTTTGCAGATATGGCAACTGTGTACTTCTGCAGTTACTGACATCGTACTGGCATGCCTTTTTGCACTCCGCAACACTGACATAAGCATTTGCACTTGCAGATACCACACCAGTAGATACTAATGCACACAACACAGACACGCACATCCATATTCATCCTGTTCAATGAATGGTTACATTTTTTTACTAGTATTTATCAAAAATAAACAATTTTGTCTTTTATTATGGTTAGTATCATTAGGAAGAAAAATGTAGAAACACTACTATACTTTTCCTTTAAAGTGGTAGTAAAGTCTTCAAAGAAGAAAAAAATCCAGTCCCTACAAGCTGATGTGCTAGTATGCATCGCTCACTAGCACATTATGAAAGACTTTCCTTAAAGCGAAGTCATCCAGCAGAACTGTCATCGCTGTCAGGGCTTCCATCTTCACCTCTTCTTCCTTCCAGGTTCGTGGGCTCCAGCCTTATGAATGGTTGAACTGCGATGATGTCACACATTCAAATAGAAACCATGGCCGAGGCACAGCACTCTGAAGGGACAGCATACTCAGGTATGCTGTCCCTTCAGATGACAGTGCGCTTGCGTCCCTGGCATCATTGGCTGCAGAAATAGTAAATATTTCCTAAATGGTGCACATTTTGGAGATATTCCTTGTACCTACAGGTAAGCTTTTATTGTAAGCTTACCTATAGGTACAGGTCGCCAAGTGGCGTTTACTACCGCTTCTCCTAGATTGTAAGCTTTAACAAGCAGGACCCTCTGTTTCCTCTTGTACCAAATTGTATTGTAACTGTAATGTCTACCTTCATTTTGTAATGCGCTGTGCAAACTGTTGGCGCTATACAAATCCTGTATAATAATAAGAGTTCCTCTTTATGGGAATGTATAGTGAGTAGACCAACACCATAGGAGAGCCTGTTAAACTTTAAACTCGTGCAGCATGTTCACAGGCAATGTATGTCTGATTTGAAAACTATGCTGCCTGTAGCAATATAATATTGCATTCTCTGGTTGAGGTGGTTAACAAAGTTTATAAAGTGTATGTAAACCAAACAATACCTTTCTTTTCAAGATGTGTATACCTGCAAAATGTTTTGAGTATTGTTTTGGCTCATTGCACTCTGGGTAGTTGGTCAGAAAAGAAAATGAATTCCCACACTCTGGGTTGGAGAACGTTTGTTGTATTTTAACAGCAGCAGGAGACATGTTTCGTAGTGAAAAAAACGTTTTTTTACAATGTGGAGACTGGATTCATTCTTATAGGTGTTTGTTTTTTGGGGGGTATTTTTCCCCTTTTAATTTGAATCAATGGAAGCACCTCAAATTGCATGTCAACGCATGTTAACGCGTAGTCATGTGTTTTAACGTGCTTTGTATTGAATGTCAAAGCGTGTCATAATGTACATCCCAGTGTGTAGAGGCAATACAGATGCATCATGAATGAAAGAATCGTATGCACAGATTAAAACACTTGTTTCCATACACGAGTTAATTCTTTTATCTCCATATTATAAAAGTAAAAAAAACGTAATAATCTTCTAAAACAATACATTGAAGAGAATTTACGAAGACTAGAGCAGACTGAATATGAAGCAGCTGTGCATGGCAACCAGTCTCCTTCTAGCTGTCATTTTCAAGGCTCTAAGGAAGAATTTCAAGGCATTTTTTACACCACTACATTGGTCCAGCTTGGACCAGTGCAACTGTGTGTATGCCATCTGTGCAATCTCTCTAGAAGCTAGAAATCTTTGAGATAGACACTGCTACTCCAGAGATCTCCACTTACCTCCTGGCCCCACGGCGAGTGGCTGCCCTTCTGCATTCTGAACAACGGCGGTCAACCACTCGTCACGGGCACCATTCAGAGATCGCTTTTGCATTTTCTCAGTGAATGCAAATCATTATTTGATTAGATGAGGTGGAGAGGCAGGGTGGTGGTGATGTTTGGTTTTTTTTTTTTTTTTCTTCTTCTTTCATAGAACTTCCTTCGGGTATTATTTATGGCTAACTTCACCAATAAATCTTGACCTGTACTCATGGTAATGTATGTTTTGTTTTTCAGCTGACATGGGATTTGCACGATTATTTAATTCACCTTTAAAGCCTTTAGCAGATTTAGATCCTGTAGTTGTTACATTCTGGTATCGAGCTCCAGAGCTGCTCCTAGGGGCCAGGCATTATACCAAAGCTATTGGTGAGTGAACAGTGGTTTTTGTTTTTTTTTTTTTTTTGTAACAATGTCAAAATCCTGGAATGGCTAACTCAGAGCCTAGATTTGCATCCAATAGAGAATTTGTGACCGACTTGGAAAAAGCTGTTATCAGTCCTTATGCAACCTGACAGAGTTGGAGAAATTGGGAAAAATTGTACCGTCCAGATATGCAAAGCTGATAGAGACCAATACATACAAACACAAGTCAGTAATACTGGCAAAGTTGAATATACTAAATTGGGGGTGAATCACTTTTGTGAAGAGCTTTTTTTTTTTCTCTTTTAACATGAGAGAATCTGTTTTTCTTAACTGCTGTAAAAACGAAAGAACATAATTAATTAAAAGTGACATTCGGACTTTATAAAAAAAAAAAAAAAAAACACACACATGTATACTGAACTAGGTGGATCCAGCATCCATCAGATTCTGCATCTGTCCCCCACCGGGTCTAAGACTGAGTGATCAAACACTGTTGACCGCTCGGTTCTCCCATCTGCTCTGAACAGAGAGCCGTGACGGTCAGTCACCGGCTCTCTGCTGTGCTCTTCCAGCGCTCACTGGAGCACTGGGCTTTAGTCTACTGAAAACTGGTCACAGGAGTGCAGAACGAATTGCACTCCTGTGACCCATAGGAGACGTATAGCCAAAAAGGCTTCCAAAAAAGTCACTGCAAGTCTCTGGCTAGTTCATGTAGAAAATTTGCTTGTGAGAGTTTTGATCAAGTGGAGTAATCAAAAACTGCCACATGGTTTTGCTGTTTTTTTGGTACTTTTTAATATTCATGTTGTCCAATTAGTGTATTTGTCTCCATTTGTGGGATGGAGGGCAGTTGTTCCTCAGTGTGCACATGTGTTTTGCACAGAAAAGATTTTAAAGCCACTACACTTTTTATTTTTTAAATGGTTCCCCAGCATCTCTAAAAATTAAAGGAAAAAAGTTGCTGTAATAATCACCCAGTCCTCTTGCGCTCACCTCCAAAGACAAACTGCACTGCAATCCAGCACCAGTACTCTTCTAGGTTGAATGACACTCAGAGTCGTTCAGCTTATTTCTGTGAGTGCCATGGACCTGCAGTATTGGGAAACGAGGTGTGTGTGTGTGTGTGGGGGTTGGGGTGATTTCTTTTTTTTTTGGTTTTTGCGCTTGCTTTTTAAAGTAACAAACTATCCTGGTGCATGGGACCCTGCTCCCCTACCCCATGTCCTTGGCTGGCTCCTCTTCCGCATTCCACAGAGTGGAGCCCAGCCCAGTGTCCCACTGCCCTCCACACTTGACACATCCTCCTCTTGTCCTGCTGTCCCCCCACCCATGACACTCTCCCCTCCTGTGGTGTTGCCCCTCACTTGTGACACTCCCCCCTCCTGTCCTGCTGCCTCCCACTTTTGAAACTTCCCCCTCCTGTCCCACTGCCTCCCACTTCTGAAACTTCCCCCTCCTGTCCCACTGCCTTCCACCCTCGACATTTCACCCTCTTGTCCTGCTGCCATCCTCCTGTGACGCTTGTGTATTTTTAGTAAAAATACACAAACCATGTGTGTATGTATGTATGTGTATAATAAATCTATACACACATTTTGGAGTGCTCTGTTTGAGTATTTCTCCTCCTATTCTTGTTCCAGTGATAACTGGGAAAAATATTTAGGTAATTCATAAAGAAGCTTGACTTGTGTGGGGTGGGCAGAGCCTGATGGAAAACGAAGAGACTAGGGCTCAATTCACTAAGAGTTAAATACTGCATGAATATTGGCATTAAAATAACGAATTTAATAACTCCAGAACATTCGATTCACAAAAAAAAAAAGCATGTTAAATACCACACAAGTTAATTTTCCAGTATTTTTGCACCTTAATTTAATGCAGACTGAACCTCTAGCTGAAGGTGAAACATTTAGCACTGGCATTCCTAAATGCGACAGTTCAGCTCAGGGCTGCTGGTTGGCTCAGGAGGGAGGGGCTTCCATTGTTTTTCTTCACCTTTAAGGAGTAATGGTTCACCTCTAGTGCATACCTGCTCTCAGTTTATTAATTGCTATATAGTATGTGTCTCAAAACGGGAGCTCTGTTAGACTGAAATTAGGGGCCACACTTTGCAGAGGTTCTTTGGCACTGCAGTGTGCCACTGCAACTTTAAGCCACCCTCCTCCCCAACTCACCACCACTCTGTATCACTATTTATTCTCCACTTCCTTGTTCTTCATAACAAAGCCAAGTTCTGCACACTGCACCAGTTGCTGACATCACTTGATGACCAACCTTGCCAAAATATATATTTTAGTTTTAGGTGGATGCTGGCAGGATAGAGCACATATAAATACAGAAAAATTGTGCGCTTAGTCCAGAAAGAGGTAATGCAGCCACTATGTTCCAGACACAGATGAATTACAAAACTAGTCTAAAAGGTGCACAAAACCAATATCTCTGTAGTGATCAATACAAAAAAAGCGTGTGAAAAAAGTCAACTCATATTAAGTCATAATAAACAAAGTGCATCACATAAATGGTGAAATAGCTGTCCCATAACATATAATTCACTTGTGCACAATAAAGAAGTAAACTTAAAAGAGAAGTATATAAAAGTCTAAATGTGAAATCTTGTGAATAAGGAGAGTCCATGTGTAAGAATTCCAAACCACCTCACAGACCAGAACAGTACCAAACGGTAATCGGTAATCTTCCAAATAAGAGGTCAACAGCTCAAAAATCATCTAATTGCAGGGCCACCACTCGGGATACCAGTGACTTCCACGGTCTTTCACTAGTTATCCAAAGAGAGCACCTCAAAGTATTGCGTAGGAGAAAGAACAAAGGACGATGGAGTAGTATGCTAAAACCACATGGTTTATTAAAAGCAGATATACTCTCAAAAGTTAAAGAGTAACACAGGCAAAACACACACCACACCAGGGATCAACAGCAGGCGTACATCATCATATGCCACTGGCCTCACCATACGCGCGTTTCATCTGGTTGCAACGGATGTCTTCATGGGATAAAGAAAGATGCTTTTTTTTAAATATAAGTCATCTTTATTTTTTCACACACACGTTTGTATTGATCACTACAGAGATATTGGTTTTGCGCACCCTTTAGGACAAATCACATGCTGGCTTCCTATATCTTGAGTTGAATGCAGTGGTGAGATAACCTACTTAATTTCTAGTTAACCCCTGCTTTTTGATGGTAGTGTAATTATTGTGGGACCGTATGTTCCTTGTTACAGAACATTATTTTTTAATAAAATTGTTATGGATAAATTTCCGCTTTACTTTTCTGAGCTTTTTTTGGAGCTGTAAATAGGCTGACAGAACACTTGTATTTGCCCATAGAAACCAGGCAGATTCTCTCGATGTTTTACAGTGCACTGTGGGTCGAGAACTGTTCATCCCTCACTTAGATTTATCAATCTGTTTTATAAATTGGGGCCCAATGCATCTGACTTTTTTCTGTTCCGTGGTTTAGATAAAGATTGGGAGGACATCAAAAAGATGCCTGAACACTCTACATTAATGAAGGATTTCCGCAGAAACACGTAAGTGATCTATTGCGCGTCTCCTCCACCCCAATTGTCTGAAAATTATTATTATTATACAGTAGTTATAAAGCGCCAACAGTTCGCTCAGCGCTGTACATTACAAACATGTGACCGTACAATAACAATGCAATGCGATACACGAGGGGTTCGAGGGCCCTGCTCTTTCGCGCTTACAATCTAGGAGGGAGGGGATAGTGGTACAGGAGGAGATAGCTGTGGAGGATGGAGTGGTGGGAAGAGTGGAGGAGGTCGGCAAATTAGCAGGGGGTGGGGTAGGCTTCCCTGAAGAGGTGGGTTTTCAGGGTGCGCCTAAAGGAGAGGAGAGTAGGTGATAGTCTGATGGATTGGGGCAGGGAGTTCCAGAGGATGGGTGACACCCTGGAGAAATCCTGGAGGCGGGCATGGGAGGAGGAGACCAGGGAACTAGAGAGAAGGAGGTCTTGTGAGGAGTGGAGAGTGCGTGTTGGGTGGTACTTGGATATTAGGTCGGTGATGTTATTTGGGGCAGTATGGTGGGCAACTTTGTATGTCAGTGTTAGGATTTTGAATTTGATCTGTTGCGCAATCGGAAGCCAGTGGAGGGATTGGCAGAGGGGGGTGGCAGAAATGGAGCTGTTGGAAAGGTGAATGAGTCTGGCAGCCGTATTCAGGATCGACTGAAGCGGGGATAGCCAGTGGCGAGGCAGGCCAGTAAGGAGGGAGTTGCAGTAATCGAGTCGTGATATGATGAGGGAGTGGATGAGCTGTTTAGTGGTTTCTGGAGTTAGGAACGTGCGGATTTTGGCAATGTTGCGGAGGTGGAGTCTGCACGAGTTTGTTAAAGATTGGACTTGGGGCTGGAAGGATAGGTTGGAGTCAAGAATGACACCAAGTACTCTGGCCTGCTGGGCGGGTCTGATAGTGGTATTTTTGGACTTGATGGAGAAGTCAATGGGGGGTGGTGTGCGGGCTGGGGGGAAGACTAGGAGCTCGGTTTTGGAGAGGTTCAGTTTAAGGAAGTGGAGCAACATCCAGTCCGATATGTCATACAGTAGGTTTGTGATTCTGGCGGAGACCGAGGGGGTGAGGTGGGGGGTTGAGAGATAATTTGTGTGTCGTCGGCATAGAGGTGGTAATTGAAGCCGTGAGAGTGTATGAGTTGGCCAGGGAGGAGGTGTAGATGGAGAAGAGAAGGGGGGACCAAGGACGGAGCCTTGAGGGACCCCAACAGAGAGGGGGAGTGAGGGGGAGGTGGTAGCGTTATAGGTAACGCTGAAAGAGCGTTGTGATAGGTAGGATGAGAGCCAGGATAGAGCGGAATCTCTGATGCCGAGGGAGTGTAGTTTATTGAGGAGAAGAGGGTGGGCGACTGTGTTGAAGGCTGCGGAGAGGTCAAGGAGTAGGAGCACTGAATAGTGGCCATTAGCTATGGCGGTTAGAAGGTCGTTGGAGAGTTTGAGTAAGGCGGTTTCGGTGGAGTGTAGGGGATCGAGGAGGTTGTTGTTGTTGAGGTGAGAGCATAGGCGAGTGAAAATGTTTGTGCATAAGATATTCAGAACTGCATAGGCTTGGGTATCTGTGGAGTTGCTAGCCCTGGAATATTAGAACTTTGTATTGTTCCTAGATCACTGTGTGATCTAAATAAAACCTATATTGTAAGCTGCACAAAGCTCAAGTTTATGCTGTTCAGAAAGTCTATCTGGGGTCAGCTGAGCAATGGGAGCAAAAAAAAAAAAAAAAATACTCTAAGGCACTGTTTGTTTTGATGTCAAACTTCAGTTTAGTTTTAGTCATAGTCTTTTGACTAAATGCCATTTTAGTTTAGTTGTGTTTTAGTCATCAGAACTGTTTTAATTGGCTAAAATCTCCAATACATTTTAGTTGACTCAAATCTCCAGTATCATAAACAAAAATATTGCTTTGACATATAGAAGTACAACTTTAAAGTTTTTATATTCAGGTAATATGTGCAATGGCATTACAGCCAATAGAGTTTACAGGTTTGTTTTTAATAATATTTTAAAGGAGAAGTTCAATTTAGAAAAACATGTTTCATGTTCCACCCGTTTTTAGGGTGGAACATGTAACATGTTCCTAATACTGCAGCTGCTGCCCGATCCTCCCCCTTCCTGTGACAGCAGTAGACAAGCTGTAGCTTTTAAAAACAGCGTGGCTGTGTGGGGCTCCACCCACATGGCCTCCTCATTCGTTCATTTACAGAGTTCTGTAAATTTAATGAGCTACAATTCCTGACAGCCTTAGTAGCTGTCCGTTTGTAGTTCTCATTCAGCCACCACGACGCTGTGGAACACCCTGGTAGTTCATTGATTCTTCCTGTCAGTATATCTGCTTGCTCGTACATATTGTATGGGCAACCAGATATACTGGCAGGTCTACAGGAGACATGCATGGCACCAGCGATCTGCTGGTCGCTGGTGCAATGATTTACAGGCTCCTGCAACATAAAATAATAAATGCACATTGTTTTTACCTGCAAAAAAAAAGTGCATTTATTATATTTTGTCAAGAGGTAAACTTATCCTTTATCGGTTCTCTGTTAATAATGAAAACAAGTATCAAGTAACCTCTTCAGAAATAAAAACACGTTTCGTAAACTAGCAAGAATATTGCTTTTTGACGTCAAATGTTGATATATAGTTTTAATCAGTCTTTTGTCTAAAACGTCATTTTAGTTTTAGTCATATTTTAGTCATCTGAATTGAAACTGAAATTTATTCCTGTTTAGTTTTCGTCACTAAAAACATGCAGCTGCCGAAAATATTTTCACTGAAGAAATTAACACTGGTCTAAAGAGGTGGCTTTTTACCCTCCTTCATGGTTAGAAATACATTTTTCCAGTGCAAAGGATGCCTTCAACCCCCAATGTTACCCAGTAACTACTACATTGGGAGATTGGTAAAGATATAGTTATCAGTATTGTGAGAATAAGGCTGATTGCTTTGCATGGTCAGGTACTAAACAAGGAATATGTGGCAATTTCAAATGGTCCTGGTAATACCATTAATCATGTTGTGTTCTAAGAAGAAAATGCTACCATTGACTCTGCTCAACAAATTCAAGAGTGGTCTACTCAGGATAAACGCATTTTATAATGTTTTCTTATGAGGTCTGCGCCTACTGTGAACGGTTTTTGAATTTGTGTGTGGAGAGATGGATATGATTTTGTGTGTGTATGTATATGTGTGTGTGTGTGTATATGTGTGTGTTATATATATATATATATTATATATATATGTGTGTGTGTGTGTGTATATGTATATGTGTGTGTGTGTGTATATATATATATATATATATATATATATATATATATATACCATATATATATATATATATATATATATATATATATATATATATATTATATATATACACGTGTGTGTGTGTGTGTATGTGTATATATGTGTGTGTATATATATATATATGTATGTATGTATGTATGTATGTATGTGTGTGTATATCTCAATCAGAAACTGAAGGATTGGGGATGATCGGTGCAACAGTGGGGGCAGTTACAAGCAGTGATCTCCCTGTATGGCTTTCTTCTCCTCACTGCTTTCAGCTGCTTCATTGGAAGCCATACAGGGAGATCGCTGGTTGTAACAGCCCCCATTGCCGACTCTCCCACCCATCCCTAGTCTTGGCATTGTTCGCCACACATAGAAAACCTCTTGCATATGAACCTCAGCAGGACCCCATCCCAGCATTGCCTATATCTTTTAGCAGACATGAGTGCAGAATGTAAAAGATTTTTACAGAACCAATTGTGTTTTGTGCCTTCACACCAGTACCAGAACTTATTTACTGTAGTTGCAGCTCTGTGTCCCAAAGAAGACAATGAGCTGTAGAGGTAAGCAACCCAGTGTGTTAATACAATAGAATTCCACTGGAAGTTTATAGTCACTGTGTACATTGTAATTCTTTATATTATCACTCGATCTTTCATTGAATGTGTTATGATGGAGAAATTCTCATCACCCAGATGTTGAAAAAAAGTTTGTAACTTTGGGGATAAATGTGTGTACATTTGACAAGGTTGTAATAAGAAAATGAATCACAGCTAATGTCCTATCCAGTAATCCTTATGAAGAATTGCCTTACTTAAATCCCAACTCTTAAGTTTTTTTTTCCCAAAACCCTATAATATGAGGTCAAACCTAAACACTATCAATTTGTATGCAATCAGGCAGGTCTTTGTACTACATAGTTGAAGGTAAATCTAAAGGAAATCGAACAAGAAAATTGTATAATGTATAACCAGCTTAAGTGTCATTTCTGTCTGCTCCTTCGTTTTGAAGAGCACAGGAACCACCCATCACAAACACTTTACATATACTTACTGTAACTTGCAAAAAAAATTAAACTGCAGCACATGCATAAGTGGGTATTGTCATGTGTCATTTTTTGTTTTTTTTTGTTTTTTTTCTTTTTGCTTTATCTTCAATTTAAAATTTAAGCAGCTATATTTTTTACAGTACTTTAATAAAAATGTGTGGTGGAAGCAGGGAAGATGAAAACAGTTTTCCTCATCGTTTACAATTTACTGCAGAAGTAAAATGCACGGCAGTGTTTTCGGTGAGAATGGGACCCAAAAATCACATGTATAAAATACTGAATAATGCAACTCGTGTGCGTGTGTAAAGTTCATACTATGCTGTCAGTCAGACCTCTCTCAAAGAGTAAACATGTTTTTCCTTTTTTTAGGTATACCAACTGCAGCCTTATTAAATACATGGAAAAGCATAAAGTAAAACCAGACAGCAAAACATTCCACTTGGTAAGTTTTTTCCCTCTTGTGTTTATTTTTATAACATAACCTTAAAGGATAAATTCACCTTTTACTAAAAAAAATAATAAATTCACTTTTTTTGCAGGTAAAGTGTGCATTTTATAATTTTTTTGTTGCAGGATCCTATAAACCATTGCATCAGCAATCAGCAGATCGCTGGTGCCATCCAGGTCTCCTGCGGATCTGTCAGTATATCTGCTTTTCTGTAGGGGATGTACAGGCAAGCAGATATACTGACAGGAATAATCGAACTACCATGGCACTCTACAGCCCCCTGGTAGTTCATTGAGAACTACAAGCCGACAGCCGCTAAGGACTGTGAATGAATGAATGACTCAGCCGGGCGGGTGGAGCCGCATGACCGCATTTTTTATTTATTTTTTTAAAAATTGACAGCTGGCAGGAGGAGAAGATTACTCACTGTCAAAGCGGGGGAGCTGGGGCCGGTCTATTAATAACTTAGTCTTAGTCCGTAGGGTTCAGTATTGAGTTGGCCCACCCTTTGCAGATATAACAGCTTCAACTCTTCTGGGAAGGCTGTCCACAAGGTTTAGCAGTGTGTCTATGGGAATGTTTGACCATTCTTCCAGAAGTGCATTTGTGAAGTTGGGCAATAACATCGGACGAGAAGACCTGGCTCACAGTCTCTGCTCTAATTTATATCAAAAGTGTTCTATCTGGTTGAGGTCAGGACTCTGTGCAGGCCAGTCAAGCTCTAATACCCCAAAGTCGCTCATCCATGTCTTTTATGGATCTTGCTTTGTGCACTGGTGCGCAGTAATGTTGTAACAGGAAGGGGTCATCCCCAAACTGTTCCCACAAAGTTTGGTGCATGAAATTGTCCAAAATGTCTTGGTATGCTGACACCTTAAGAGTTCCCTTCACTGGAACTAAGGAGCCAAGCCCAACCCCTGACAAACAACCTCACAGCATAATCCCTCCCTTGACCAAACATTACACTTGGCACAATGCAGTCAGGCAAGTACCATTCTCCGGGCAACCGCCCAACCCATTCACGTCCATCGGATTGCCAGACAGAGAAGCGTGATTGGTCACTCCAGAGAACACCTCTCCACTGCTCTAGAGTCCAGTGGTAGCGTGCTTTACACCACTGCATCCGACACTTTACATTGCACTTGGTGATGTAAGGCTTGGATGCAGCTGCTCGGCCATGGAAACCCATTCCATGAAATTCACTGTTGTGCTAATCTGAAGGCCACACAAAGGTGTGGAGGTTTAGCTATTGACTCTGCAGACAGTTGGCGACTTCTGCGCACTGTGCGCTTCTTCAGCATGTGCTGACCCCGCTCTGTCATTTTACGTGGCCTACCACTTCATGGCTGAGTTGCTGTTGTTTCCACTTTGTTATAATACCACTAACAGTTGAATATTTAGTAGCAAGGAAATTTCATGATTGGACTTATAGCACAGATGGCAACCTATCACGGTACCATGATTGATTTCACTGAGCTCCTGAGAGCAACCCATTCTTTCACAAATGTTTGTAGATGCAGTCTGCATGCCTGGGTGCTTGATTTTATACATCTGTGGCCATGGAGGTGATTGGAACACCTGAATGCACTGATTTGGAGGGGTGTCCCAATAATTTTGCTACATACTAGTGTATGCGGATTGGATGCAGTTTGAACCGCATCAAATCCGCATGACAATTGAAAACACATTTCTTCCTATGGTACTTGTTCACATATGTCCGGCGCACTGACAGAGCAGATTCAGTGTGGTTTGAAAAAGTCCTGTCTGATTTCTGAACAGTGCCTTTAGTTTCAGGGTGCGGATTACAGGCTATCCTGTTCACATATGTGTGAACAGGATAAAATGCTGAGCTAATCCTGTTCTGAACCTGATGTAAACCTGACATGAACCGCTGAACAACTACTGTATCACTTAGCTGTGAAATCTGATCTTCAATCCGCACTGCACATGGGTGAATCGGTTCTTAAGGTAAAATAGGGTCAGGTCAGTTTCCTGCTGGGAGACCACAACTGTTCCTGTCAGCACTGCTTTGCTGTGGTGGGAAAAAAAGTCCATAATTTCCTGTCCAGACAGAAAGTAAGTGGAAATAAGTTCAATGATAACCCAGGCTGCATAAAAAAAAAAAAAAAAAATTGTATTCCCTACCAGCAGTGCCCCCTCCTCCCCCACTCCTGTCTTACACAAGTAGGTTTGCTTGTGACTCAGTAGACCAGCCACTTGTCAACATTTGATTGTTTATACTCCAGCAGGCCAGCGAAATGCTGCTAGCAGACAGAGCTTCAATGTAAGTGTAATTGCACCAAATGTGTAGTTACACTTTAAAATTAGGGGCTGAAACTCAGCCTAAAAACGAGCTTTGTAACTCTTTATTGAACTGCAACTAATTTGTGTTTTATACAGCTTCAGAAACTCCTCACAATGGACCCAATAAAGAGAATTTCATCTGAGCAAGCTATGCAAGATCCGTATTTCCTTGAAGATCCACTTCCTACGTCAGAGTGAGTTACCAATTTACCTATCAAAATTCTCAGCAGTCCATTTACATTAGTAAGCATAATGGCTTCATAAGCTGCCACCCAGATTATGTCCTATAAACCCTACCTGAATTTTATTTTTCTGAAAGTATAATGATGACTGTTTTTTTTTTGTTTTCTTGTTTTTTGTTTTTTTTTTTATTTGTTGCATCTCCGTGATGCTGATCTCCCCCATTCTCCTTTTCGTCCACTTTCTGCATCTACCTTCTCTTACTCCAGTGGGTGGTCAGAAAGTGTCTATTTTATTTTTCTTATTTTTTTTTTAGGATGGGCTTTCTGATGGTTACAACAGCAAAACATGTCTGTGCAGTGAATATTGACATGGCTATTTGTAGTCTCCACTAGAAGCGCATGTAATAGGGTGACAACCCAGGAGAACAATTGAGACAGAGCACTGTCATGCCATAAAAGCACTGAGCAAAAACTATCATAGCAGTATCAGATGTTTTTTTTAATTTTTTTTTAATGAAAGCTGTGTTTTTTAAGTAGATTGAAAATCACTTTTGACATGTTGGCAGATCGAAGGCCGTGAAGTGAAAGGAAAACAGAACCAGAGTATTGGAGTCCTAGTCTGCATAGTCAAAGTGGCAGACGTTTGGTTTACAAGACTAGCTGAACAGAATTACAAATACCATGGCAGGTTAAACATTTTACATATATGTATATCAACTACTGGTTCGTACTGAAGTTGGGCATTACCTGAACCTTCTGTTTTTGTTGGGCCATTCTAAGGCATTGTTTGGCTAATATGGCCCACAAAGCCCAGTGCATACTTTTGCAATGGAATAGAATAGGTCATACAATTCTCATTGTCTAAAAGCACTGACGCTGAAGTGAAAAATATTTGTTTGGTACATCTCTCATTATTCCCTTTGGACAACACACTGAAACTATACTTTTAGCACCAGTCAACCCATGTGCTGAAGTGTCAGCCGCTATCCCTAGTGTGTGTTTAGTGCTGTTTTTTGTATGTGTGAAAACCTGCTATAACAAGTGCTTTCTTTGCAGTGTGTTTGCAGGCTGTCAGATACCATACCCTAAACGGGAGTTCTTGACAGAAGAGGAGCCTGAGGATAAGGGAGACAAAGTATGTGTCACATATTGCTTTTGTGGTTTTTTTTTTTTTTTTTTTTTTTTTTAATATATATACATTACATGTAAACAAATCCCAGACATTTTGCATTGCAATCTTAAAATGTTTTGTTTTCCTCGGTGCCAGTCAGTGGCTTCTGATTTGTTTTTCAGTCAATGTAAACGGATTGTCAAAAAATGAAATATTTCTACTTGCATGCATTTGTGGGTATTTAGAGAGCAATCTTCATTAGAAAAAGCATATTTATTTTTATTCTCCTAAGGTTTATAAACCGAATATTCAGAATTCAGTAACACCAGGGGGAACTGAATTGGCTAGCTAATATTTTTGCTCCAGAGCTACACTTGTAATATGTACATTTCTATAATGAAACCTACCATTACCCTCCCTTGGCTCACAGCTGGAGCAGCGTGAGGAGGGTATTTCTGTCTGTTTATTGTATTGCGTTTGGCTTAAGCCATCAACTATATTTTTAGAAAAATTGGTAAGGGGTTTATATATGGCCTTTAGAAACCAGGTTTCTGTTTGTTCAAATTTTAAAAAATACAAAGGATACTTGGTTTTTGTCAATCTCTGTGTCTTACCTATTCACTACCTTTTTAACCACTTGCTGCCTGGTCACAGTAAATTTACTGTGACCGGGTGGCTGCTACAGGCTCAGGAACGCAAGTAAACGTTGCTGGCATGCTTCTGGGTTCAGGCCCGTGCATGCATTGGACACAGCACAATTTTTTGTCAGCAGGTGTTGGCCATTGATTTATGGCTGAGACCTGCTGATCAGCTTTGTTTACAAACACAGTGCTCTTTACACAAGCAATGATCTGGCGGTTTAGGGGAAAAAAACTGCCAAATCTTAGTAAAAGTATTAAATATTATACTTGTTAGTCTGCTTTCACACTGATCTGTTTTTTCTTCAGTTTTTTCATTTGAAAAACACAACACACCCTCAACTGCCCAGTGTGAAGAGTTTCATAGGATTTAATGGTCATGCTTTTTTTTCTGCTTTTGTAAAGTCCTGCTTGCTGCATTTTTTTGGTGCATGTTTGGACAAAAAAAAAAAAACCATCAAAAAGCATCCCTCCTTTGGGCCCTGGTTCACGATGATGCTGTGTGGGAAACACATTGATTCATATGCTTTTCCTGCACTGCAGAGCAGTCACACTGTGCTCCGTGGGAAGTTAACGACACCCCAAAAGCAGGTCACAAACACAGTGCATTTTCCTGAACTCTATCACATGAATAGAAACACCCTTGTGATCCAGTGCGCATTTAAAAAAAAAATGCCCACATTTTTTCAATGCAGGTGCTGTGCGATTTGAGCCATCCAAAATGAATAGGCTCAAATCACACGGCGCAGAATCGTATGTGATTTGCACAGGAAGGCAGTGCAATTCCTCTGCTATTCACATGCTGTTCAGTGTGAACTTAGGCTAAGGCACACAGTCCCTTTGATGTTAACCTCTTCCCAGCCAGTGTCATTAGTACAGTGACAGTGTATAGTATTATATCTGATCACTGTATTAGTGTCACTATTGATGTTCGTGTACCTCCCAGCGAGGGTCTGAAGCAGATTGCTCGCCACACTATCATTGTTCCACTATAAGTCATTGATCACCGCCATTACCAATATAGCGTCATAGATGCATACATTTCAGTGTATATATACACCATAGTTTGGAGACACTATAACTTCCAGTCCCTGTTCACACCAATGCAATTTTGTCATGCGATTTGACAGTTCAAAATTTGTTCCTATGGAATGCTCAGATCGGTGCAACTCTGACTTGCACTGATTTAGAAAAGGGTACCTGCACTAATTTTGGTGATTTCATGTGAAACTTGCATGGACATCTGTGTGTGAAGTTATACTGACTGGCGGATTTGAAATTGCGCTACATCAGATGAAGTAGCACAATTTCCAAGCCACATTCAGTGTGAACCAGGGCTCACACAAATTAATATAAACTTACTGGGATTTTTTTTTCCTCACGATACAAAAGTATAAAGACATTTTATATATACTGGGTTATAAAACCTAGTGGTGATCAAATACCACCAGAAGAGGGTTCTATTTGTGTGAAAAAAATTATATAAATTTCATTTGGGTAGAGTTGCATGATGACTAATTGTTACTCAAAGTGTGACAGAACTGAAAGTTGAAAATTGGCAGTTAACGTAGCACAATGCTAATAAGCAAAAAAAAAGCCTGCTTACCCTTGTTGTCAGCTGCTGCAGCTGTACATCATTTACATTTTTTTTTTACTTCCTAAAGAAAAACCAACAGCAGCAGCAAGGCAATAATCATACCAATGGGACCGGGCACCCGGGAAACCAAGACAACAGCCACGCACAAGGACCGCCGCTGAAGAAAGTGAGAGTTGTCCCCCCTACCACTACCTCAGGTGGACTCATCATGACCTCAGATTATCAGGTAGAAGGAAGCGGACTGGGAATGCAATCTAATTCTTTACATAACATTGGAGTTAAAGAATGAATAGTATACTGTAGGTCTACTTTGAATTGACCCCAAACAGCAAATGCTTACACCAGAGGCTTTTAATGACGAGAGATTTTTTCACCCTCTAGTATACACTGTGGGTACATGGGGAGTTCTCTTTACCGCTGTGTCCGGGTGATAACATGCCAAATCGAAAGTAAACATTCGATGTGATAGCAGAGGGAACTGTTGCTGCAGCCTGTGAGTGTACACTACCTGTCACGGGGCATGTACACTCTAAGACTGCAGTGATAGTGTCTGGGCTTGAAGTGGTTAAACAATAATTAGACCAAAAAAACGATCTGGAGTGTGTAGAAGTATTTTCACCCCTTACCTCCAAAAATCTAAATTTTGTAGAGCCATCATTTGCCGCAATTATAGCTGCAAGTCTCTTGGGGTACAGTATATCAATATTTGCTTGTCACATCTAGCCACTGGGAGTTTTGCCCATTCTTCAAGTCAAAACTGCTCCAGCTCCTTCAAGTTAGATGGGTTGTGTCCGTCTACAGCAATCTCTAAGTCATGCCTCATTTTCTCAGTTGGATTGAGGACTGGGCTTTGATTGGGCCAGTCTAAATGATTTAAATGTTTCTCTTTAACCACTCCAATTTAGCTTTAGCAGTATATTTGGGGTCATTGTCCTGCTGGAAGGTGAACCTCCATCCTAGTCTTAAATTTCTGGCAGAATGAAATGGTTTTCTTCAAGAATTGCCCCTATATTTAGTGCCTCCATTTTTCCTTCAGTCCTGAGCAATTTTTAAGTCTGTTCTGATGAAAAGTTTCCCCACAGCATGATTCTGCCACTACCATACTTCAATATGGAAGCTGTGTTCTCAGGTTGATGGGGTTGCACAGCATATAGCATTTCCCAAGCTGGTCAAAAAGATCAATTTTAGTCTTCTCTGACCAGGAAACCACCTTCTATGTGTTTAGAGACTTGTGTTTTTCTTCTTTGTGTCACAATAAAAAAAAATATTATTTATACAGAACAGGACACAGGCTTGATCTTTACAAACCCTGGGTTAAAGACTGGTACCATTAGGTGTTTGGACACTGCCAAAGCTTTGAGTACTCACCCACTGGGCCCCATCCCATGACCTTATCCCACTCTGTTAGGTTTTTTGCTAGTGTCCTAAAATAATGGACCTTTTCTCCCATATAGATAAATTACTATTAACTAGTTTATTATATTATTTTGGATTGTTAAATCAGTTCTTCAGCCAGCTTTTCATGGTCTTCTGAAACCACAGAAGATCCCCACAGCCTCTGTAAAGCCTTGGGAGCTGTACCGGACCCCACACTGCAGGGATGGCCTTTTAATGTTTCTTCTGGCACTAGTGTGGGTGCTCACCCTACTTGTAATGCATGTAGCTAGTGGCAGAGTGATATACAGGTCCAGCGCCATAGTCCATCCCTCTGGAACCCAGTCCCTAAAAGCCACTTTCAGGGGTATGCCCTCGGGTGACGGGTGAAGTGCAGATGAAATGCTAAATAGTCCTTACACAATTGAAACCATTTCCAGTGTTGTATAAATGCAGATTATGTCAGGGATTCAAAAAGAAAGGGATCCATGGTCCTTAACATGCTCATTTTGTGGCTTTCATAATGCAGAGTGGTAGAAGCCCTTCACCTTCCAATTGTACAGGTCTCTCAATGATATGAAATTCATGACAACACAATTGGTCAGCCAGTAAAATGTATGTTTGCTATACTCTGTTTCAAAACATTTCTTGTTCACATTTTGTGGATTTTCTGTTTTTATTTTGGGGTTTTTTCTGGACTCTGAATATGTTTGTATGAAACAAGCACCTAATTTCCTTCCTCCAAAAGTGTGATCATTATGCAACTCAGTCACTTGGCTGAAAATAATACATTACAAGGTGTTAAACCTTGCAATGTAAATTAATCCTTTTTGTGTTATTTTTTCATATGCACAGTACTAAACTCGGTTCTATCTCTTCTATTTTTTAGCGTTCCAATCCACATGCTGCCTATCCAAACCCTGGACCAAGCACATCACAACCTCAGAGCAGCATGGGATATTCGACTACCTCCCAGCAGCCTCCACAGTACTCCCATCAGACACATCGGTACTAGAGTGTGTACCAGGAAACATAAATGCACTGTTGCTTGGGCTGCAGGACTGAGCTTGTAGCCGCCTGCCTGGAGCCTGGCTTTGGAATGTACTGTACAACCACACCTTGACAATGTCCAGCAGCCAAGTTACACAACATTTCTCAGAATGTAGAATCCCACGGGGAGGTTTCAAGAGAGCGCAAGTTCTAGCACAGTCCATATTGTGAATTTGCTACTTCCATAGTATACTTGAAAATGGTTCAATGCGACCAATGCATTTCTTTCAGTGATGCTAACAGTTAAAGCTGTGAAGTATGCTTGGAACAAACTGTTTTTCGTTATTGTATGTGGTGACTATTAGCATATTATCTGACCAATAATAACTTGATTTTTTTTTTTTTCATTTTTTTTTTATGTTCAAGTAATGGCTCATAAACATCGCACAAAGCTCGAAAGGCTAATCCTAGTCAGATAAACTTTTTTTTCTTTTCTTTCATTTTAATGCTTAGGTGATAGAAAAAAAATTTCACGATCAGCGATCAGTATTTTTGTTGACCAGAAAATTTGTTACATTTTATCCCTGTTATAAAACCTTTCTTGTATGATCCTCCCAAAGATTTTAAAGGTTAATATAGATGGACACAGAGGCTGCCATTCAGTTGATGATTGGATGTGATAGCTGCATGGTGAGCTACATTCAGGTAATCTCCTGGTGAGTGTGTTTTAGTGTGTATGAAACTTGATTTCTCTCATTTAGTCCGCATCAGTTCCCCCATCCGTGCTTAGAGTGTGGATGGAGGAATCTGTACTGCCAGTTAATAGGATGCAGGCACTGTTTGTATGAAATATGAGCAGTCTGTTGAGAGCTTTAGTCTGCTCAATAGTGCCATTGCAGTTTTGGGTAGAAGCTGGCAAGCCAGTTCACCAACCATCCTAACTTTTCCTAGACCTCTGGCAGTATTGGTGCCTCCTCCAAAGGGATCTTGATCTCTTCAATGGAATTGTGTTTTGCAGAGAATAACGATGGTTGAGTGAGAGTTCATGTCCTTATATAATTTTTTGCTTGGTACTCTGCTTTAAAAAAAAATCCCAAATTCATTTCTATTCTTATAAAGGTATGTGGTTATTGCATGTGTTTATATTCAGCACATAAATGGCTTCTTTATGTTACATTTCTTTATATTTTTTTTTTCCCATTCACATACAAACCAAACTGTCCAGTAAAAGTGATAGGGTTTGGGATAATCATGCCCACAAATGTCTGTAGGCTTGTTTTTATGCCTAGAGTACATTTTAGTGCACATTCTGTTGTCCAAGAAGACACAGCTGCTGCACACAGCCTTCATACAAGTGAATGGTTGGCTGTGTTCTGAAAAGTGAATTTCTCAAACATGAAGTTTTCATGTTTGTACGTACCGCAAGCATGCACAGGTAAATACCGACGCATAGGTGTTTATATGCCTATGGCTGCATTCAGCCGTTCATACAGCTGTTCAGTGGTATGTCTGTACGCACCAGCTGCAACCTCCTGGTTGTGGGGAATTGCTAGGAATTGTATTCTAGACATATAAAATGCCTGCAAACCTCTGTGTACATGAGGCCAAACACTGCTGGGGTACGTATCGTGTGTATGGGGGGGGGGGGGGGGGGGTTGTTTTTTTTTAAATTGAATGTGAATTACAGGTGACAGTTGTAAGCCCCCTGACAGTGTTATTTGCCCTCATCCCTGTCACTGACAATTTTTGTTGGATGGCCTGGTCTGAATGTAAATCAAAAAAATGTACAGACATGAAATAAATAAGGAATTTATATTCTGAATATCATTGCATATGTTAACCACATACATTAGAATTAAATCTTTTATGAAAGTAGAGTCCTCAGGAAATCCTAAAGAAAAGCAGTGGCTGGCTCATAACATAGGTGTCCATGTAAGCTAGTTTTGCTGGGCTTCAGGTATAATGCTTCGGAAAATCTAAACTAGAGATCTTGGCAAGCTATCATTTTTGGTATATTAAAGTACATTTAAAGTGTATGTTCAGCATATTTTTTTTTTAAGTTTTGGATAGAGGTTAGAACTCCTGACAGGTTTTTGCTGCTGTCAAGTGTTCTGTAAGATTTAACCACACTTCCTGTCCTACAGACAACCATTTACCAAAGTGAGGAGGGAACTCTAACAGCAGCATGAAAGCTAGAACCCCTGTCAGATCAGTCTGTGTCCCTGTTGCAGATTTACTCTCCTTTCCTGTTTTGGTAAATGTCAGTAAAGACAAAGCTCCAGACAGCAGTAAATATCACACATGGGTTCTAATCCTTCCGCTTGCTATCCTAATATGGAGAAACCTTTTTAGCTTAAGTACACTTTAAATATTTTAGGGATGTGTCAATTTTATTACCATTTTAACACACGTGCACCAACACCCCAGGCTTATATTACTGTAAGGGTCAAGTCATTTACAATTGTATCCCTATATGACTTGTTACAGGTCATGCTGTCCCCCACCTTGCAAGACGTCTTTGAGCCAATCCATGTCATTTTAGAAAATCTGAATGGGAGAGGAAATGTGGTCACATGATTTTAAACCCCAAGGGAAGCTAATGGGAGGGGGGACCTAAAACATTCCCATTAAAAAAAAAAAAAAATCTTACAGGCAAAAGGGTGAAATTCAGATTGCATTCATGACTGAAAACTAAGCTTTTAACAGGTCGAGTTACACTTTACAGATGTTTGTGTGGGTTATCAGAAGCTTTAATATGTACTAAACCATGCACACACCGTGGGGAACCATGTGGATATGGCCACTGTGCGGGAAAGCTGTAACTATTACTGCCTTGTTCCTCTATACAAACCTTCTTTAAACATTAATTTTGCTTATCTTCTTAACTTGACTGGTATTAAAGCTGCTATTTGATCGTTAATACGTCTGAAACTGATTTGAATCTGTTTGCTGCAGCAAACTCATAAAATTGATTGTCCTATTTTTTTTTTTTTTTCCCTATTGGTGTTGCTGAATTGTGAGCATGCTATGGAGTTGTATCAATGCTCAAATGACCAGCATGATAGCTGCTGCTCACCAGAAAAAGTGTCTGTTCAGATATTCTTATTAAGCTGGCTTGGTGTAGTGGATTTCAAATCAGTTCCTATTTCTGTTTTTATTTGGTCGGCACCTTATTTTAGGGTGGCTCCTGTTACAGTGGAGAATAAGGGGTAGGAAAGCCTTAGGATCTTCAAGGAAAGACAGAAGCTGTAACATACAATGTACTGTATCAAACTATTTTACATGAATGACAAGTATTCTGATTACAAATTAATTCAACATTGTTAAAGCAAGGTGTTAAGTAATAAATTTATTTTTCATAAAAGAAAAGATTACTTTGTGTGTATTTGTTCATAGTGTAATCAAGAATATTTATTATACTGTATGTTTACATCAGTCCCTGTCCTCAAGGTGCTTACAATCTATGGTCCCGATCTCGCATGCATACATACGCACACTAGGGCCATTTTAGACAGGAGTCCATTAATGTCTAGTGTCTGTGTGAGTTTCCTCCCACACTCCAAGGGCAGAACATGCAAACTCCATGAAGATAGTGTCCTGTGCAGGATTTGAACTAAGGACCCTAGTGTTGCAAAACAGAAGTGCTGGCCACTAAGACACGCTGGAGTTGATTTGCTAAAAACTAGAGTGCAAAATCTGGTGCAGTTCTGCTAAGAAACCAATCGGCTTCCAGGCTTTTTTTAGTCAAAGTGTAATTTAACAAGCTGAAGTTAGAAGCTGATTGGCTACCATGTACAGCTGCACCTGATCTTGCACTCTCCAGTTTTATTAAATCAACCCCTGTGTGTTTTTGTATGAGGCTTGTGGTGTACTGGTCTCCCTTGTATCACTGTCATCACTCTTTGGCCTTGAATGAAAGATTATGGTGAAAGGGAGAATGTTGAATATTTCTCTGCAGAAAGACTGATGGATTGAGGTGTGTGGCAGTTCAGCACAAGCCTCTGAGTTAATTCTCTGCTACTGAATTTAACCACCTCCCGTCCGGCCGTTGTATATAAACGGCCGGACGGTGCCAGTGCAGGGTTGGGTGACCGTTTTTATAAACGGCCTCCCCGCCCCATGCTTGTGTACGTTCCCTGGGAGCACGCAGCACCACAATCCGGTGCCCACTGTGTCCAGACACCGATCGTCGGACGGGACCTCTGTGCGAGGTTCCCATCATGTGATCACTGACTGGCCAATCAGTGATCGCATGAGTAGTAAGCAAGATGTCACTTCTGACATTGCTTACTTCGTGTGAAATCTGTGAATGATCAGAGGTCACATGGTACAAGGCTATTCACAACAGCCTTGTACCATGTGACAAGCTGTGACCAATCACAGCTCACACAGTCGTTCTCAATGGCTGCAAGAATGCAGCCAGAGAGAAGGAGAAATGATTGCTTTTACAGCCTTTGTGGTGACACTGTACTGCTAGAGTGACAGTATGTAAAAAAAAAAAAAAAAAACCATAAAAAAATGTTTAAAAATTTAAATTTTTGTTTATAAACTAATTTGGGTTTTTTTTTTTTTTTACAAAAAAAGATAACAGAATAAATTTTGGCCAAGATTTATGATGAAATATTAATTTGCAAAATGTTATACGAAAAATACCTTTTTTCAACATTTTTGGACTTTTTCATTTACATAGCAAAAGAAAAACCCAGTGGTGACAAAATACCACCAAAATAAAGCTTTATCTGTCTCAAAAAAAAAAATTCATATGGGTACAGTGTTGCATGACCGCACAATTGTCATTCAAAGTGTGATAGCGCTGAAAGCTGAAAATTGGCCTGGACAGGAAGGAGGTAAATGTGTCTGGACTTGAAGTGGTTAAGAGGGTTTACCTGAGCTGGTTTGGACATATTTATGCAGGTCTTCCTAGAAGCTTTACTCTGCAGCTATACCAGACACCCTTACCTGGGAAGATGCCCTAGGTCAGACTAAGTGTACACTAGCTAGATTGTCTCCATCATGGCCGTACGC